AGATTTCCAGAGAAGCTTTGACTAAATCATTTGGCAAATAATTTTCTCTTTATCCTCGCATCCTTAGGAGCCTCCTCCAGCTCATTGTTAGAGAGGGGACCATGCTTGGGATGCACAGGACATACAGACCAGATAACTACCCTGGCAGGTGCCTTGGCCAGCAGAGACGAACCTGTTACTGATTTTACTCCTGCAGTGACATCAGCAGCTGTCAATTGAATTATCCAGCACAGTGATATCATTCCTATAATGGGCCCCATTCTCAGTGTTTGCAGGAAAGAGGGAGGTTTCCACAAGGAAGCCCACCAGGTAAGGTAGGCACTCAAGGCACTTGATTTGCTCTGTGTGAGCCCATCAACCAGGAGTCTGGCAGCACCCTTTCTGTTGCTGGCTTTAGGAAGGGTCTTTCAATGTGGATGGATTCCTTCTGCCTTGCTCTAGTGATGAGGAGGAGGAGGGAAACCAGTGTCATAACAGGATCCCCCAGTGCAGTTCTCCTTATAGTGTAGCTTGGTGATACGCTGATGCTGATTCATGGGAGGTGACTGTCCAGCTTTTGAACTGGTATCGAATGCCAGGAGCCTTGGCTGTTAATCATCAAAGGTGCCCTTTGTACAAAGGGTCACATTGGTACGGCTGGCAACTGGCTTTTATGAAGGAATGACCCTGGGTCCTTCAGACTTCAGCTGAATTTAGAAATGTTGGCTTGGCTGGTACCACACATGCCCCATGATCACTGGGCAGAAGACTGGGTGGCACGTGGTGTCCGCTTTGCCCCCTTCCACCCTGGTGGGAGGAGGTGGGAGCTCCTGTTGGGAGACATCTGCTGTCCTTAAAGTTAGAGGTGAGAAAAGAGGGAGGAAAATGAATGTGCGGAGAGGTTGTGGCATGTCCTGCAAACAACATGAACAGTCCTGGAAGTCTCCTCTTACCTCTAGCTTTGAGTAGGACCTGGAGGCATAAGCAGTGGAGTATCAGGCTTCACAGGCACATTGACCACAGAACAGGGAGATTCCTCTGGGCCGAGGCAAATAGGGCTGTTGTGCTTTGGTGTTTGAGGCTCATTTTCTGATACATAGTGGACGAAATCCCTCAAACCTTTCTGGGAGTGTGGGTGGCCCCTGGGACTCTCCATTTCTATTTTCTCTACCTCACGTCATGCTGTCTGGAAGAAGTGTAGGGTGTTCCAACCCCGGCGGCACTGCTCGGACTGTCAGGTGGAAGGAGGGTGCGGGTGTGTGCGTGTGCACGTGCTCAGGCTGTTATGCAGGGCTTATTTCTGCCTTAGGAATTGAGGAAAGTGCCACAAACCCTGCCGAGCTGGGGGAGTGAGGAAGTCAGTCAATTCAAACTACGAAGTCAGGTCCAGGACTCGCCCGACAGAGAGAGACAGAAAGAGACATTTTAGTTTGCCTGTAGCCTCTCCTGATGCAGATTATTGGCATAGGCCTTTTGTGGCCTGTGTTGACGCAGTCCCAGGGAAGAGCTCTCACATGTGAGCTTGTCCTTCCTTACAGCAGGATTACAACAGTCTGAGGCTGGAGGCCTCCTGCTTCTTACTGAAATCCTTAAACCTTGTCATTGCAGGCTGTTTGCATTAGCTTTCCTTCAGGCTCCTCAGGTTGTTTGAGCCAGGGGTGGTTGTAGGCTGTTCCACTTGTCCTCAGAGTCAGCCTTACCACTTGTGGGACCTGGACTCCCAGAAAGGAGACCAGTCCAGCCATGTCTTACCTCCCCACTCCATCCTATTATGAGACAAGTCTGTCAACGAGGTGTTACCACTGTCTTCCAGCTCCACTAGCAGAGGGGGAAGTGGCTGTCAGCCAGGGGGCATGGACACCACAAGGGATGACCACCATCTAGCTAGCTGTTCCTTGCATTGCTTATGCTAAGGGACGATTCATTGAGACTTGATGTGGTCTGGTTGGGGTCCCTTGCTGGCATTTCCCTGAAGCAGAGACTGAGAGTTGTGGGGTGTGGTCTGGGAGGGAAGTAATCCTTTCTTGTCTGAGTGGGAATCCTAGCTCTAACACTACATCGACAAGAAGAGGTGGTGATCCAGGAAAGTGAGCTTTGGAACAAGTGAACAGGTGAGATTAGCTCTGTACCTTTTCAAACCAGTGTCAATTTTACTTGGGATGGAGCAGGGGAAACTTCAGTTGGGAGAGTGCTGCTTCTGAGGGCTACGCAGAAGGGTGACAGTGTTTCTTGAGGAAGCAGTGCAATTTTAACTTCCCTCCCTGGGAAAGTTGCTTTACAGCCCTGCAAACTGCGGTGGGATTCTCCTGGTTTGGACAAGCCAGAGAAGGAGCAAGGGGCTGTTTCATTACTCTGGATTGTGCTGCTGCTTCCATTTGGAAGCTTCAGGGGGCCTGATGTCCCCTTGCATCTCACTGTCATCGTCTTATTTCATATGGCTGATGTAGATACAGAACAGTAACTATAATTTAACATTTTAGGTGGCTGAGCCAGACAATGGCATCAGGAGCAGCAGAGTGTATCGCTGTGATACTTCCTTCATATTTGTGGATCATGCATTGAGTCATTATATGTTCCGTGGTCTGTTCTGGGTGACCACAGATGTACACTGGAGAGTTTTTGACTTTCCATTTGTGCATCAAGTATCTACATTAGTGGTACACCGATATATCAGTCCCATATTGCTTTCGCACTGATATAAGGAAAATTGAGAGCATTGGCAAATGGCTTTTTTTGGCTCACGTGGCCAATAAATCCTGCATGCATGTGCACAGCCGCAGCATGCATGCGGCCAGGAGCGCAGCCTGGCAGTGTAGACACTAGCGTCAGGCTGGTAAATCTGTTGTTGGGGAAAGGGGTGGGGGGAAGGAAGGGACTGGGGGAGG